TCCACTTGATTGGGAAAAACTATTTGAAATAATGTATGATACTAGTGATTATGTTATTGGAGTTGTTATGTTATTGGAGTTGTTTTAGATGGAGTTGTTTTAGAACAAAGGCACAACAAAGTTTTTAAACTAATATATTATGCTAGTAAAACTCTAAATGATGCTCAAATTAATTACACTACTACTGAAAGAGAGTTATTAGCTACATTCTATACCTTTGATAAGTTTATTTTTAGACCTTACTTAATTAGAACCAAATGTATAGTGCATACAGATTATTCTGCTATCAAATATTTGATGCAAAAGAAGGATGCTAAACCAAGATTAATTAGATGGATACTTCTACTGCAAGAGTTCTATTTTATGGTAGTTAATATAAAGGAAAATGATAATCAAATATCTGATCATTTGTCTAGCTTAGAACAAGAAATATTAAATAATTTTGCAAATGAAATTGTGGAAGCTTTCCCTGATGAAAAATTATATAATATTGATGTAATGAATATATCGTGGTATGCCGATATAGTAAATTTTATTGTGAGTGATATTCTACCACAAGATGTTAATAATCAACAATTAAAGAAATTTATTGATGATTCAAAATTCTATTTTTGGGATGACCCATATTTATATAAACAATGTAAGGATCTAATAATTAGAATTAGAAAAGTACCGCTAAGACTGAAAGGAAAATTTTATAAGATGGTGGTGAGACCTGCAATGCTCTATGGCGCTGAATGTTGGCCTTTAAAAGAGAAGCATAATAATAAGTTAAGTGTTGCCGAGATGAGAATGATTAGGTGGATGAGTGGCTTTACACTTAGAGACAAAATGCGGAATGAATATATTCGTGATAGGGTTGGTGTAGCTCCTGTGACAGACAAAATTAGAGAAAGTCGTCTTAGATGGTTTGGTCATATTAAACGTCGACCATTAGATGATCCGATTAGGAGAGTAGATGTTTTAAATTCGACTTGTGTTAAGAAAGGCAGAGGTAGACCTAGGAAGACTTGGGCTTATTGTATTAAAAATGATCTTAATTTACTAGAACTAAATGAAAATATGACACTAAATAGGATGCAATGGAGAAAAAGGATTCATGTAGCCGACCCCACGTAGTGGGATTAAGGCTTTGTTGTTGTTGTTGTTGTTGTTGTTGTTTGTATAGATTCTCTACTACTTTTCATCTCCAAACAAGCAGTCTAGCAGAGATATCAAATCGTGAAATAAAATGAATTTTAGAAAAATCTGTAAATCCCTATTAATTGGATTGGTAAGCTTGATTAGATACTGTATTATGGGCCTACGAAACTGCTTATAAGACTCTTATTGGAATGTCCCCGTATAAATTTATTTTTGGAAAAACATGTCACTTACCAGTAGAATAGGAGGATAAAACATTTTGGGCTATTAAAGAATTTAATTTTAATCTAAAAGATGCTGGTGAGAAAATATTATTGCAACTCAATGAACTTGAGGAGATTAGAAATGAAGCGTATGATATTATAAAAATCTATAAAGAGAAAATGAAAATATGGCATGATCGGAAGATTATTAAAAAGGAGTTTGAACCTGGAGAAGAAGTTTTATTATATAATACAAGATTGAGATTATTTCCAGGAAAACTGAAATCGAGATGGTTAGGACCATTTAAGGTGATTAAAGTCTATCATTATGGACTTATTATTATTAAATATCTTAAAACTGGATATTTATATATATATATATATATATATATATCTAAATATCTTCCTATTTTGTTTAATAAGTTTTTTATATATTAGGAAATAATAATATTTTTAAATCATACACAAATTTATATACCATAAATTAAGACAACTATAGATATTGGAAGAAAATTTTGAATTGAATTGAACTAAAAAAAGATGCAACATTGGCCTCTGGCGCCGACGGCGCCAGTCTACACATGCTATGACGCCGACAGCGCCATCGGAAGCACCGACAGCGCCATCGGAAGCGCCGACATCGTCCCGAGCAGTTAGTGCTGTTCAACATGAATTTGGTAGACTTTGGCGGGATTGCACTCTGAAATAACCACCTATAGGTGTTTTAAAAGGCCTGAAAACTACCTTGGACGACTAAAAACTTCCAAATTTTGAAATCCATGGCCTCCAATTCAAAAAATACTTTAAGGTATAGTGTTTTTAATTGAAGAAAGTTTGTCAATTTTGACGCGCAGAGATTATACAACAAAGTCATCACGAAGAAAAGACTTATCAGAAAGAGATGTTTTGTCAATCATGGATCGAGTAACCCAAATTCACAGATTGAGAAAATCATAGTACAGTGGCACAGGCGTTGGGAAGTTCTATGCTACACTACCACTGTAGTTGTTGTATCAGTGGTAAAGAAATTCTTTGCTAACTTACATGGAATCACTCAAAGAGTCATTTTTGTTCAAGGTAAGGCCGTACCATTTACTCCGCCTCGAATTAATAATTTGTATTTCAGAGAAAGGGTGTCAATCTGTCATTATATGAATTTTATCCCAATGAGAGATATGATGCAAGATGTATACCAATTTCTAATGAATGACCTAAAGAATGACAATGATAATTGGGAAATCAGAGATGAGGGATACGTTAGTTTCTCCGCTTCACTACTTAATCCAATATCTAAATAATGACATTTCTTCATCTCTGTAAATTACTCCCTACCATGAAGATTAGTAGAGTTACAAACGAAAGTGCAATTTTAAACTGTTACATTCAAATGGAAAAGCCCTTTGATGTGGGATCAATTATTTTTAAATCTATTATGGGTATTATTATGAATGGGCCTATATATGGACTGGGGCATCCTTCGACAATTTTCTTACTTTTGTAGTCAATCTCAAGTGCCATATGAAAGTTTGGAGAAAGTATTATTACCCTGGGAGCCCATGATTCCTATTGATGACAACTATATTGAGAATGAAAATGAAACATTGGATATTATCTTGAATAATTCATCGCATGCTTCAACACAATTAATGCCTTATACAGTTGGAAGTTCAATGGCTTTGGAGAAGAAAATTAAGAAAATCGAAAGAGAACTTCAGAGTATTATGAATGCAATAAGAAATCTTAACTACCTTTTTGATCACTTTGATTGGAGGATGAATGAGAAATTTGATCATATTGGAACAATTGAAGCAGGTTTGGTGCAGATGTTCAAGAAAAAATGGATCAATCGATGAAAATTCGACTGATCAATTCCCGTACCGACCCTTCTACAATTTGTACGTCCATTACCAGTCTATGAGAGATATTAGAGGAGGAGAAAGTACTAAAGAAGAAGCAGAGTAATTGAAAAAGATGGACACTATACTATTTTAAACTAATTATGTTTTTAATGTGATTGTGTTTGATTTACTTTGCTATAGAACTCTTATAACTTTAATTGTGTATAGTTTTGTGTCAGCTTCTAGTGTTGTGATTTGATTTCGACGTTGAATTATAATTTAATTTGGTTTATGTATGTGTGAGTGTGATTAAAAATGTGTATTTGTAAAAATTAAGATTTTCATATGTAAAAGTTAGTTTGGTATTGTTTGTGAAAATGCTTGTTTGTGAATTATTTTAGGATGAATATTAGTGTTTAAAAAGACTAATTAGACTTTGGAGTGAATGGAAAGAAAGTTGAAATTGTGAAAATTGAAAAATATGAAATTTTTGGCATTGGCTCCGACGGTGCCAACATGGGCGTTGACAATATTATCGTGATGGTTTTTGTAACACCTGCAATACCAACTATGAGTAGTTTCCTTTATCTTTCTCCCAACTCTGAGATATGGTGAAATGAAGAGATAATTTGGATGTGCCAATTTTAAAATATAAAGTAAATTGTGATGATTTTTTCAACTCCATTCTTAGTTTACTTTTCGATTTAGCCAATATATATGTTAAAATATGTTGTGAAGCATATGATCTGGGAAATGAAGTTTGAGTTCTATAACAGAGTGAAAATCACATTTAATTCCATGAAGGATTTTTTTGTTCATAGAATTAAGTGCAAATAAATAGAGAAATATACATTGTAGGGCATAGAATTAGAGGATTTAGGGTGACAGACTAAAATCCTCAATTTGGTCTTAGTGTTTAAGAACTAAAACGAGCATTAGCCTTCATGAGAAGGAAAGTGAGAGCTCTAGATAGAGAGCCAGTATCCTCCAAACTTTACAACGAATTTAGGGACTAAACCCGAGATTAACCAATGATTCTCTATAACACTGAACTAGGGTAGAGAATTAAAATTGCTCATATTTGACACAATACATATTTAAACCATTTATCTCATCTTATTTTACCAAAAACTCATTATAGTTGGAAATATGCTTTTTCATATTAGATAACTTCATCACATAAACATAGTTTGGTAGTTTCTATTTAAACTTTGCATTTCAATTTTGCTAGTAGTTAATAATTTAGTTTTAATAGTACATCAAATATTCGAAATTAGTGATAATTTAGTTTTGATAGTACATCAAATATTCGAAATTAGTGATAGTAATTTTATTTTATTACTGTGAATTTCCTAATTAATTTATCATTTCAAATTTAAATCTTCCTCGTGGGATCAATATTTGAGGCTTAAACAGACAGTCATGTATTACTTGATAACGATACACATACTTGCGTAAAAGCCATACATAAATTGTTTAAATTTCTTATTCATAAAATAACACATTAAATTTTTGATACCGTTGTAAAGCGGAGTCAACTTTTTATATTTTGCACAACTATATCATCGGGATCATGAGCCATCACAAAAGTTATATCAACAAAGATTTGTGTGGTACGAAGCATAAATCATGTTTAATTTTTATAGGGATAATTATATATAGAGCACAAGTAGTAGTGCTATTTATGAATGAAGCATCTAGGTTATTTTTTGAACTATGAAATTATTGTATTTACACATGTTAGTGTCAAATCATTCTAATTTTGATAACAATAAAAAATATGAGTTAGGGATTTTAGAATGAAATAGTGAGAATTTGAAAAAATGGTCGAAGGAGGTGCTCGTCTTTCCCTCCAAGGCCGATCCCCAAATCGCCCTAGGCTTCCGACAACGAGGAAGTCACGACGGGAGCACGCTAATCCACGGGAGCAGCGGTGACAAAAAATACAATGCAGAGCAATTAAGGCAAAACGGAGACTGCGTAGGATAAGTCCTTGCGTATATCCTGGACAGCCACTAAGCAGTCAATGGCAGCGGAGGAAGGAAAGCCGCTCAGCCTTAACGAACGATTGGCTCTATCCCTCACACGCAGTCGAACTACTTCCGATCGAACTACCGGTATCTTCCTTTCCCAAGAAAAAAAAAAAGAAACATTGAAAGCTTTCCTTTATTTGTTCCATCAATGAATGCAGAGATTGGGGTTCGCAAGGTGAAGCTGGACGGCCGCCGCCGCCTTTGTAAACTCTCGTCAAGGACCGACGGGAACGTTACATCGGAGTCGTCACCGGGAAAGAAGTCCGATGGCGGGGAAGGTGAAAACTTCCGGGACATCCTCGATGATCTCAGCTCACGCTTGGAGACTCTCTCCGTTGATAAGCTTAACAACAATTTTATGCCGGTCTCGCACGAATCAGAAGTGGAATTCAAAAGCGCAGCCTCTTCGCTTTCTTCGTCCTCGTATGAGGAAAAGTGGAGCGAGGGGATTGAGAAAATTAAAGGGAAAACAGTGAGACCTTTGGTTCTGGAGCAAGACGAGGTCATATATAATAAGAATGTTAAAGGAAAAGTTGTGGAGCGATTGGTTCTGGATGATGACAGCGATGGGGAGGATTGCGTTGTTTTGGGAAGTGGCGATGAGCCAAAATGGGGACATATTGGTGATGCTGTGGAAGAGATCAATGTTGATTGCAGGGATCCTATCAGGATGATTGGTACTGGTAAGTGCAGGGGTTTGAGGTACACGCTTCCTGGTAAGATTGTGAAGATGCTCTTTCCACACCAGAGGGAGGGTTTGAAGTGGCTCTGGTCTCTCCATTGTGGCGGGACTGGAGGAATTTTGGGTGATGACATGGGTCTTGGAAAGACCATGCAGGTGAATAGGCTATCCGATGGTTTTACTATCTAATTGCTTTTGTTTGTTGTTAATTAAGCATTGACCTAAGTAATAGAGTAATCTATCAGTTTTTTTTTTTTTTTTTGGTTTTGTGTGCTGATGGATCATTTTCACTTAGTTTACTTTACAGAAATGAATACTTTTGTTTAAGAACGGTCTCCAACACCTAATCTAAAAATTATCTATGCAATCATATTTTTTTTCATTTAAAGAATCATTTTATACATACATGGCATTTAGATTTATCATTTAGGTAAAAGGGTCATATTAATACTTTAGGTTTTATTTTTTTATTTCTATATGTACTAGAGTAAACTTTCAACTTATTTTCTTTCCTGGTTTGTCCATTGCATAGCGCATACATGGCTTGATTCCTTTGATAAAATTCGTAAATGTCAGCTCCAGATTGGCGTAAAGAGTGCTGCTTTTCAATTTGCATAATGTGACTGTTGTTTAATATAGATTTTGGTTTTTTAATTTCATTCTGATTGACGGTATTGCGGTGTATGGTTCTTTGTAACTATTACCTTTTATTTTCAGATTTCTGCTTTTCTGGCTGGACTTTTTCACTCTAGTTTGATCAATCGAGTTTTAGTTGTTGCACCAAAGACGCTTCTTAGTCACTGGATGAAAGAATTATCAGTCGTTGGGTTGTCTTCCAGGATAAGAGAGTAAGGTTTACATGGCCTGCTTTTTTTGTAATAAACACTTATGCACAAGTACATGATGCTTATCCCAGCTCACACCTTCAATCCACCAAATGTGCCATAAGTTACTCACATAGTCATCCTTTTTCACAAATCAACGAGCCATAGGAGTGTTTCTTATTTTTTTGCATGATTCATCATATTGCATTCTTTTGTTTTGTAGGTACTCTGGAACTTCCCCAAAAGTGAGAGAATATGAGTTGAAAAGTGTGTTGAAGGTCTGATACCCTTTTTTGTTTATCATAAAATCTTCTGAACTATCTCATGAAATTTTTTCTCCTGCTTATGTTCTGGCATAATTTGAAGGTCTTTTGTTCCATTTCCTTGAATTTGGCTTTAATGCCACCATTCCTTGATTCTCTGTAAGATGATACTTGTTTAAGTGGTGCCTTATAGTGTTTGTCATTTGTTTTATGACACAGGAGGGAGGAATTCTTCTCACTACATATGATATTGTCAGAAATAATTCTAAGTCCATAAGAGGGGATTGGTATATTGGTGATGATAGAATCGAGGATGATATAATTTGGGACTACACTATACTTGATGAGGTGGTTAATTATCAATTAGCAATTACAATTGTGGTTGTTATATGAACTTCCTCAAAATGTTGGCTTTGTAGTGCTCACATCAAGATTTTCTTCGATAAAATTCAATTTGTTTATGTATTTTACATGTTTTTTGAAATATATTAATATTTTAACGAACCTGTATGTACATTTAAGATATGTAATTGATGTATCCATTATTCAAAATGATTTCGAATGTTGATGTTTGTTTGTTTGAAACCTTCATTCTTCTTTTAATCCTATTTTTACTTAAATCCTCTATTCTTTGGTGCTTATTGCACATGGTTCATATAAATTTGTTCATTTTTAAAATACCCTAATCTGGAAAATGCATCACAGAAACAAAATGAGTAAAGTGAAAGATTGCTGCTTGGTAATGCTATGTTTCATAGGATTGTTTTTGGTTGAAGGTTATAGATGGGAAATCGCATTGATGCTTGTCTAAGTTTGGTGAGATAGATCTATATTTTCCTATGTAGATAAAAATTGCAATATTGGTATAGACGCTGCTAATCGATTCAACAAACATGCAATTTTCATGAAAGAAAATTATCTTAAAATAACTATTTGTTGCCTTGCATCGAAACTAAAAATTGCATAATTAAATTCATATGAGAAAAATTGCTTTTATTTTATAAAGTAGTGAAAAAAATTATGGATCTCTAATGCTACTCACACGGGTAAAATTTTTTTAAAAAAGAGCTGGAATTCAGATTTTAGCAAATTTAAGAAACTTGAGCTCAGATTCGACCAGTAACAAAAATTAATTAGGATTAAGGTGAAAATGTCACTGAAAAGCAAGCCTCATGCATGTAAAATGAGTTATCCTCATAGAATTTTTATCCCTCTCTCAACCAGGGAATCAAATACTAAAAAGTAAATTATTTTGTCTGCATGAAGCAAATCTTTTTTATTTTATATATAGTTCTTCTTATAAGATTCAAACATTTTCGAAGCTTTATGGAATGTCAAATAAGAATAAACAATCATCTACGAAGTGATCGCAGGAGGACCAAAATGACGGAGTCATTGTTGCAAGGAATATTTAGAATTGATTCGCCAATGTATCCACTATTTTAATTGTCCACATATTCATAGGAACCACCAACAATGGAGCAATTGAGGTAGGAATAACTACTGGAAGAACCACATAAGCAGGAAATCTAAAATAGCTGCATTGATAGATGGCCAGTATAAGAGATATAGAAAGAAAGAATCTAGAAGAGTATAGAAAACAAACAAAAAATAGAGGCATAATTGTTGCAAGACTAGAAATAGGAAAGTTTGAGCCTTTGTAATAAGTTAATATTTTGTAATTACATATTAACATTGATTCCATTAATCAATTGCAAACTTAAGATGCTTAATTCAAATACAAATCAAATCCTGAAAAAATTCAAACTTGAAATTGGTTGTCATAACACAGACATTATGTTTTCATATGCGATACACTTTCATACTTGTATTAGTTTTGTTTGACTTGGGAATATTTACTAGACCATTATTCTTCTTTTAATCACACTCTGTTCTAAATTGTTTAGTCAATGGTTGCTTATTTGCTACCTTCATTCTTCTTTTAATCACCTTATTGCTTATGTGCTCCATTCTACAAATACATGGTGCACATGTTTCTTTTTTTTCGAGTTCTAAATACCTTAAACTGAAACATGCATCTTAGAAACAAGAGGAGTAAATTGGAAGGTTGTTGCTAGTTAATTTTATGCTTCCATATGGTTGTACTTAGGCTAGCATTGTTGAGTTAAAATTATTTTATTATTTGAGATACGAACTGAAACATCCATCCTTAAACTGGATGCCGTTCAAACCTCCACCATGTTTTGTAAAAATAGACTATATATATTTTTATTTGAAGGATGCATTTGAACCCATCCTCTCTGGCCATAGATTAACTAGCCAAGTGCTTCGAAGAGAACTTGTGTAATGAAATAAGAACAAATTGGTTGATTATTTTGATTTAATCACAGGGACACATTATAAAAAATCCCCAGACACAGCGGGCGAAAAGTTTATTTGAGATACAAAGTGGTCATCGCATTATTGTTACTGGAACACCAATACAGAATAATCTCAAGGTACTGTTTTTGTGATGCGAAGAATTAGCCTGATCTTGCATTTTCTACTCTTGTTTGAATGCTCTTAATAGCTTGAAATTATGGCATTTTTTTCAATATCAATTTTGAACAGGAACTTTGGGCATTATTTCACTTTTGTTGTCCTGAAATATTGGGTGGCAAGGATGAGTATTTCCCTTTGCTTTTACTAATGCTGAGTATTTTGTACTTTTATTTAACAACTACTTATTACTGGTGTTTGTTCCTTAGATTTAAAATAAAATATGAAAATCCAATCCTACGTGGAAATGACAAGCACGCTTCTGATCGAGAAAAGCATATTGGCTCTACAGTTGCAAAGGTATGCTATCTTCATCTCGCACCTGTCTTTTTGCTGTATTCAGTAATCATGAGTCTAATACCTTCTTTGACATTTATGTGTTTTAAGATAATATATTCAACTTTGAGGTATTTGGTAAAAAATAAATCATATGTTGGAGTCTAAAGGCCTTCGTTTGAGTAGAACTAAAACTGAATACAAGTAATGTAATTTTAGTAGTAGTAGCTCTAGTTACAGATATGTAACTATGGGTGATCAAATTATTAAAAGGTGTGAATGCTTTAGATATCTCAAGTTGATTGTTCAAAGTGATGGTGATATTGATTGGATGTTATTAGTAGAATTCAAGTTGGTTGGTTGAAGTGGAGGATTACTTTGGGCCTATTGTGTGATAGAAAAGTACTGCTTAGACTGAAAGGAAAACTTTATAAGATGGTGATAAGATCTGCAATGCTTTATTGCGCTGAATGCTGGAAAACTAGTGTTGCCTATATGAGAATGATTTGGTGGATGAGTGGCTTTAGACTTTAGAGACAATATGCGAAATGAATATATCCGTGATAGGGTTGGTGTAGCTCCAGTGACAGACAAAAATTAGAGAGCCGTCTTAGATGCTTTAGTCACGTTAAACGTTGACCAACTGATGATTCGATTAGTAGAGTAGATGTTTTAGATTCGACTTATGTTAAGAAAGGCATAAGTAGACCTAGGAAGACTTCGACATATTGTATAAAAAATTATCTTAATTTATTAGAATTAAAATTTATTAGAATTAAATAATTAAATAAAAATATGACACTAAATCAGACGCAATGGAGAAAAAAGATTCATGTAGCCGACCCCACTTAGTGGGATAAAGGTTTTGTTGTTGTTGTTGCTTAAAAAATTCAACTGGATAATAAATAAAAAATTAGGATTATACCAAGAAAAGCAAGTCTGCTTTCTAAAATAAATTTGTATTCAAATAGTGTTCCAAATACAATTTTTAAGATGGAAATGTCCTTAATTCTATTTTGATATTACTACAAAATACTCGTTCATTTCATTTGACTTCTTATCTATGTTTGTTCTTACTACTTTATTTTAAATGATACTTCTTATCCATACACTAATCTCTCTTCCATTGCTATTGGTTATTCATCTTCATTATTATCATTCTCCTAGAAGGATTGATACCCTCTATACTATAACTCCTCAACCACTTGCAGTTTCATATTTTGTTAAGAGCGGTCATTTGTATGAACTTGATTCAGAGTGATATAATTACATCAAAAACCCTATTAAGTTATTAAAAAAACTAAAATTAATGTTCAAATGCTTCATGTTTCATTAATTAATTTTTTAATATATCTTCGTCGATCACGCTCTGCTAGGGTTTCGCGTTTATGGCGAACCCTGGTTTCTGCTCCACTGCATCTTTTCGTCGATCATGATCTGCTCGTCTTTCGTTGTTTCTGTCGCTTCCGTCTGATTCGCCGTTGTCACCGTGCGTCGTCTTCAACTGCTCGTGCTTTGTTGTCCCGAGAAGGGCTCTCGTTCGTCGGGCTCGACTTATGAGGCATCGCGCGTCTTCGGCTTCGACAGCTTCTCGTTCGCGTTTGTCTGCTTCTATAAGAACGTTTCTCTTTTCCTGTTTCGATGGGTGCGCCGACTGAACCCGACAAAGCCTCTTTCGCCCATGTGCTCGGTAACCATCCGGAGGAGTTGGCTGTTGTCTTTCCGTCAAGGTATAATGAATGTCGTGTTGATACATGTGAGTGCCCTTTTGTTAAGAAAGCGAGTAGGAAGAGTGAGAAAATAATTCTTTGTTCTCTTTTTTAGAAATTTCAATCTTGACCAAGAAATGTAAGATTGCTCTTATTGGAATCAACTGCTCGTGCTTTGTTGTCCCGAGAAGGGCTCCCGTTCGTCGGGCTCGACTTATGAGGCATCGCACGTCTTCGGCTTCGATAGCTTCTCGTTCGCGTTTGTCTGCTTCTATCAGAACGTTTCTCTTTTCCTGTTTCGATGGGTGCGCCGACTGAACCCGACAAAGCCTCTTTCGCCCATGTGCTCGGTAACCATCCGGAGGAGTTGGCTTTTGTCTTTCCGTCAAGGTATAATGAATGTCGTGATGATATATGTGAGTGCCCTTTTGTTAAGAAAGCGAGTAGGAAGAGTGAGAAAATAATTCTTTTTTTCTCTTTTTTAGAAATTTCAATCTTGACCGAGAAATGCAAGATTGCTCTTATTGGAAAATTTCAGTGGGGGCACCCACCTATGAAAGTTATCAGAAAGAGTTTTGATGATCTCAAACTAGTAGGCAAGTGGAAAGTGAGATTTTGATGAGAGACATGTGTTGATTCAGTTAACTTTGACTGAAGACTATGCTCGAATTTTCTTTAAAAAATATCTTAATATTGCAGGAAAGCCAATAAAGTTACTCAAGTGGTCTTCTGATTTTGACCCAAAACATGAACCTCCCACCGTACCCATATGATTTAGTTTACGCCGTTTCAAGCTGCATCTATTTAATCATCAGGTTCTCTACTTTACTGGGGCCATATTTGGAGATCTTATGAAGCTAGATCTACCCACCTTCAATCTAACGAGACATTCTTTTGACAGAATACTTGTAGAAAGAGATATCACTTTACCTGACATTATAGAAGTTTGGATGGGCACAACACATAATAGATATTGACAACAAATTGTCATGGATCATAGACATTTTATTATACGAACTGTAAGATGTTTGAGCATTCCCTTGACAAATGTCACAGACTCTACCTTAACTTAAAATCTAAAGCTAAAATGCATAAGAACGTGTTTAACCTCACTGCTCGGGACACATCTGCTCCACCTGTGGAGGAAATTACCACAAGAAAAGAGTTGGTTTCCGATTTAATTGCCCCTGGGGACCCCCACCTGACAATACTGTTTCTGTTTATGCGATTGAGGTGTTGCCGGATGGCTCTGCTGGGCAACCTACGACTTAAAACTTTATTGAAAACAATATTGAAGGATCCTTACTTACAAAGGACAATTTTGGGACCGAAAATCAAGAGAACCTTGCAACTCCTCATCTTCAGGAAGTATTAAGTGCAGAGGAGACAATTCATACTTCACATACACTAGAACCTATTGTTGTTACAACGGTTGACAATCTTTCTACTGCCGTTCTACCACCTCATCAAAACGAGAATGTCAGTACTGTTAGTCAGGCGCAAGGGGCTCATCACCTTCTTCATGCTTGACAATCTGTTGACCGACACACTGATCAGATAAGTCAGTCTTAGGATGAGGAATGACAAGTTTACACATCCAGGAGGGAGAAGAAGAATAAAGACTTTCTTGAGCTCAGGAATTTAATGGATGATACATTGGTTACTTCAGGTAATGACACGCAACTCACCTATTTGTTAGCTGACTCCCTTTCTAGAACTAGAGGCAGAGACATAATTAAATTGGGTCGTCCCTAACTACTTGTTCTGCGTTTTGGTAGTTTTGGTTTTTGGCCTTACATATGGCCTTTAATATTTTTTTTCTTTTTTTTTTTTTTTTTTTTTTGGGATTTTTGGTGCGCGTTGTACCCTGCGGGTAGGGTGCCTTTTTGGGCCCACTCATACAACCTATCTATATCTTTTCTATGTTAATATATTAGCCTTGGACTTTGAAATATATATATATATATATATCAAAGTCCAAGGCTAATATATTATATAATATATATATAATTATGTTTAATTTTATCATTTGATTGATTCTTGTTACTCCACAAGTGTTTTTCCCTAACAATTTAATTTATAACACTTATTCCTTAAGCAGTTTAACCTGATCTTAATTTTCTTTTTTTAACATCACAACACCACACTAGAAAATATTGCCGGAGGAGCCCTTAATTTTGCAATCACAACAATCACAAGGTAAATAGTTTTCATAGTTTTCATATGGCAGCGCAATCACAAGGTAAATAGTTTTCATAGTTTTCATAGTTTTCATATGGCAGCTTTTCTACTGATGTTTATTGCTGTTATCTCACTGACTGTTTCAATATTTTGGCTCTTTTATGAAAAAGCTTTTTTAAGTTAGTTGTATTTTTGCTATCCTACTTTAGGTTATACTTGCCCCTAGTTTAGGGTGCATGATAAAAAAAAGTGGAAATCTCAATTTATTTTTTTCAATTTCCCGGAGTATTGGACTATTTTGGCTATTGATCAATTTTTTGATTAATATTCCTTTGTGTTGATCCTATTTTGGCTATTGATCCTATGTGATCAAACTTAGGAATATGAGCCTATTGAAGTTTTCTTGCGAACTTGTGTGATTTTATTGCCTCTATGTTCTGGCGCCTTACTAATTTAATAAGCTTGAAAATGAATATAGCTGTCATCATCAATATAATTTTTGATTATACGAAACTTTAGTATGAGTTATGTTACACTATTTATTTTTATTTTTAAGATATTTCTGTTCCATTTTCTTATGTTAGTAGGCAAATTTTGAGAAGCGTTCTTCTGAACTTCTCTTTATACTAATTTTGGCTGTTTGAAGTCCTATATTTTATGCACTCTCTTTTTTTAAAGAAGTTGATTCCTCTCATGTTTTTATGTAGGGATTAAGAGAACGCATAAAGCCATATTTCTTACGACGTTTGAAAAGTGAGGTATTTCATAATGATGATGCTGTTAAGAATGCAATGGTTTCTAAGAAGAATGAGATAATTGTTTGGTTAAAGTTGACATCAGTTCAGGTACTATTTTTCTAGCATGATCCCATGATTTTTAGATTCTCATTGTTAATTTTAAACTTTATGTGGAAGATTAACATCATAAACTTAGGTGGATGAAATTAAATTTTTTGTCCTCAGAGGCAACTATATGAAGCTTTCTTAGAGAGCGAAATGGTTCATTCATCTGTCAGTGGTTCACCATTGGCTGCAATAACTGTAAGGATACAAGTCTTCTTTTAAATGTATATTGATAATGGATTCTACTATATAACTTCATCTCTTCTCCTGTTTTATTCTAGGATTATTTATATTCATAGTAGTTCATAGATTCTTTTGGAGATTGCATGAATTTCAACTATCCTTTTATATGGAGACAACTTACTGCTTCTTGATTATCCAAGGTTTTAGGTTTTCTCCTAGGAAGGTCTTATGGCCAATAGTAGGTTTATTTTTCTATAAGAGATTCTGCCCAATCAATATCTGTGTATGGCTTTAAACTGAGTTTTCTATTCTCTTTCAATTAGATTTCTTCTCCTGAATTTGTTTTAATGTATTGAAGAGTTTTAGTTGTAGCTTCTAAATAAACTTCCTTAGGTTCTGATTTGAATTGCCTCAGAACACCTACGATATTGGTTATATTTGACTCTGTGCGGACAAGATAATTAAGCATCCTAGTCAGCTTTGGATATTTTTTATATTGTCTACTCATGGTCTGTTGCTTTGCTCTCCAACTTTATTTTAGTAATTGATTAGAATTTTTGAGGGCTTGAATCTGTATTTAGTTTCCATGAGCAATAAGAGGATATATTATGATAATTTTCAATTACAAGGACATAGTCTGTACTTTCATTATATGACAATTATTACGCAAATTTAGGCTTTGTTTAGGGCAGCTGCAACTTATCCAGATAAAGAGCTTTTCCTGATAAGCTGTCGATCAACAGCTTATACGGATAAACAGGCTGAGTGTTTGGTTTGTGCGTTTGTAAAACAACTGATTTGCAACTGTTTCTTGATAAATGATAATTCAACCCCTGACAATTTTATAGGCTCTTGGACTAAAATTATTTCATGTAAATAGTAAATGGATAACTTTTGCACTTTACTCATTAATTTTCGATTTCATCCTAATAACTATTATATGGATTATACAACAAAAAGGATCAGATTGCCTTAATATCCAGAAATATATATCCTTTCTAGCTGGAAATAAGAAAACTCCAATCCCTTGCTACCGCAAAATTTCCTGGCTATCTCTCGTATAAAAACATCATTACATCCCTGACAACTTCCTTAAAAATTTCTCCAAACCAAATAAAATATTACCCCAATTTGGGTCATTGAAAAGATAGCAGATCCATGATCATAGACAAACGATCAATTCAGAAACAGAAACACAATAAACCAACCAACAAACCATTAAATATAAAACCGAATGAAAAGGATGGGTTGAACTTTGGTGTTCGAGGCATTAATGGGCGACAAACGGGGGAAGAGTCGTCGTCTTTGTGAGCAACTGTGGGAGTTTCATAAAAGAAGCGAGAGATCCGGTTTGTGATGCTGTCTTTTGCTGAGTTCATCATGATCCCGAAGAATGGGTGAGATCTAGAACAGAAGAGTCCCTATTGCCGTAAACCTAGACGTGCCGAAAGCGGAGGGATCTCAGGTGCAGGGAGGCTCTAGCCGGAGGGGAGTCTCTTTGACGGTGGGGAGTTTTTAGGCAAGATCGGGAATGAGATCGAGGGGCTTAGTGGTAATAAGCTCCAAAGGAACGAGGACCACGAGGTCGATCTCGTGGGGGCGATCCTTTAATAAATCTCATCTCGCGTTGGCGTTTTGTCGAGTGAACGAGCGAAACAAAAAGACGTTCAACGTTTTCAAAACTTCAAACACACAAATAAGCTGCCCCAAACGCATGGTTGAGCATACTTTGTTTCATCGTTGAATTTTTTCCTTCTTTTGGAATATACTTGCTGTATTGGTTTAGGGTAATTATGTAGGTTTTGAGAATAGAGTGAAATACTTGATTGTTACGGTAGAAGGGGGCGGGGGGTATAAATATAGCTTACATTAATGCTAAAATATTTAAAACTTACCACTTATATCTCAAAGATTACAATTACACAATTCCTAATAACTACCCTGAAATAAAGGAAAAGACATAAAATAGGAAAAACATAGCACCTATATCTCCAAGATACAATCAATCAATCCCTAATAATTGCATGAAGATAAAATGAAATATATAAAGTTGGAAAGACATGAAATAAGAAATACATAAAATAGGAAATGACAAGAAAAGAAATAAATCAAGTCCTAATAGCTTCCAACACTCCCCATTAAGTTGAAACATAGATGTCAATCATGTACAACTTGGACGTGAAATTATTAAATAACGGGCAAGGAAGATTCTTTGTGAGGTAGAACTTGCAATCTTCTTTCCTAAGCGCATTTATGGATACTTTTAGTTGACTGTGGCCGTCTTTGACTACTTATTAAATAGTTTTTGTAAGTAGGCGAAAGGCGACTACGGATAATGTTGCAGGGAAGTAAACAATTTACAGGGAAAACTGTAATGAAAAAGCTCTGAAGGAGGACTTGCTGCAGGGAAAAGCTCCGGAGGAGGGCTTGGTGCAGGAAAAAGCTCCGCTGGAGGGTTTGGTGCAGAAAAAACTCCGGAGGAGGACCTGTTGCAGAAAAAAGCTCCAGAGGAGGGCTTACTGCATGATAAAAATTATGGTTGCAATGGAGAACAGAGTAGGATGTCATCAATGTCATCTTTTTGAGAGACAAAAAAAAAATCATTCTCCTCAATTGATGATCCTTGACATAAATGAGAGGTCAACTGGCTGTAAGAAAACTGACCAGAACCAAGCAGCTTATTCCACTCGACTCTCAATAGAGTTAGTCCGAATAGGGGTCGACTGAATTTTTGTGAATTCAGAGGCTGTTTCTAGACCTTTCTTTAGCAGCAGAAGATTTGACGAAAGTCTTATTTGCTGTTTTCACGTGAAGTTTTCGAAGCTCAGGTCTTTCAGTCTGCAAAGGGATTGAGGTAGATGCTGAACCTCCAGTGGAATCAAGAACAACTTTGGATGAAAGCTTAAGCGGAGGAATCAACCATGGATTCAACAGAGTCAAAGGAGAGGATCAAACGCCGAGGCATGGAAGGAGTCAACCCTACGTCTGGTAAGCGGGGGACATAGATCCGACGAGTAAGCTGAATCTCCTTTGGCATAATAACCCTCTTTGCATGGATGTCACAGGGATTTGTGTCTTCAAAGAGACAGAGAAGGTAAGTCTTCGCAGCTTTCTGAAGTGCAACAACTCCGAAAATATTGAATCAGAGATTGGTCATGAAATCCTGCGCAATCTTGCGGACCAGACACTGGAAGGGAAGCTTACAGATGAGGAGCTCCGAGCTCTTTTAAGAAGTCTTTATCTATCTTAGCGCAACTATTTTGGGACGAACCGAAGGGGTTTCTCCACACCACAGGTCGCAGGAGTCGACATCTTGGCTGCTTTGGTTGCCAGCTACTTCCTTGGGACAATGCTGCCAGTGTACTTGCAAGTGGTTTGCCTTTTCCTCGCCATCAAGGTGGTTTGGGCTTAGGCTCGAGAGGCCATGAGGAAGAGGTTCTCATGGGAGACAAAAAACGGCTTGCTTGTTTTGAAGTGCGATAAGGAATTCTCACTCGAGTATGCAGGCAGGAAGTAATTCTTATGATAGACAGGGCCTCTAGGAGGAAGATCTCTTGAGGAAGGAAGAAATCTTGGCGGCAGCTGATTGCAGATAAACCTGCAATAAAAAATTCTAGTTGCACAAAGGAGTTTCAGTGGCGAGAGGACTGCAGGTAGAGGAGCTTTGATGGCTAGTTTCAGTAGGAAGGAGTTTCGCGGCTAGTGCTTATAGGGAGAGGAGTTCCGACGACTAGGGCTTACAAGGAGAGAATTCCAATGGCTGGTAGATTGCAGGGAAAGGAGTTCCGACGGCTAGGGCCTGCAGGGAGAGTCTTGCAGGGTGTTTTCTCTTGCTGGAGGGATATGTCACTAAGTTTTATTCTGCCAGCTGAATCTTCCTAGCATAAGAAGGGATCCCATGTAAGGACTAAACAGAGTAGGCGAGACTGCAACATGGGACATATTGTCGTCTTTAGGGATTAGCAAGTTTTCGGCGGTAGGAGATATTCTTCTCATTCGCGTGAGACTCTAGGATTTGTTTCATGGTTCAGTTAGTATGTAAGTTTTGAGAATAGAGCAGAATAATTTATTGATACGAAAGGAGGTATAAATACAATTTACATGAATCATAAAATGGGAAAGACATAACACCTATATCTCTAAGATTATAATCAATCAATTCTTAATAACTACCTGAAGATAAAAGGAAAGACGTAAAATAGGAGAAAATCTCCAAGATTACAATTAATCAATTCCTAATAACTATCCAGAGATAAAAAAAATAAATAAGATAGGAAATACATAAAATAGAAAATAACAGGAAAATAAATAAATCAATTCTCAGAAGCTATTTGAGAACGAGTAATTGAAACTATTTAGATTAGTTGGGCAGAAGTTGCGCGGTCAAAATGTAGAAAATATGGGTCGTCTTCATTATAAAGCTAATTCTGAGGGCAATTTTGGTCATAGAATCATTGACTTTCAACAAAGGTTTAACATTTTGGGAGGTAGTTTTTTTTTAAAGATTGAGTGATAATATACCCATATGCATTATAAGTTGGGACTATCGAAGAAAGATGCATTTTAGGGCCCTTTAATGAAGCTCACTGTTTTGATGATTTTGATTGATATGATTATAGGCAATGCTCCCAAATGTTCTTGGTTGTAGTTGTGAGTGGTTTAAACTCTGGGAAAAAATATTTACAGTTTCAATAGGTGCTTTATTTTATAATATTCTAGAGAGATAATTTATTAGAAAGGTGGAGATTCATTCAACGTAATAGAATATTATAATTTTTTTTCAAAACGTATGCTCTAGTGGTTTCAAGAAGGTGACAATTCTTTTTCGTTCTCTATTTCATTTTATTGAAGATTATTGATATATGAAATTCATGGATGATATCTTGTTCTTGGAGAAAACAGTTGAGGCTTAATTAAAATATTCATTATGTTATTCAACTTAAAATGCTTAATATTAGTGTCAAATTGGTAATAGTTATCTTAGGAAACATGGGGAGGATTGTACTATATCAAAA